TACGGTTTACCGGGCAGTTCTATTTGACGATATATATATATACCTGAGGAGTCGGTGAAACTCCAACGAAACAGTTTGTCACAGCCCCTCGTTTGTTGTCCTCTTCTCTCTCTCTGCCTACGGTTTACCGGGCAGTTCTGTTTGTGTATATATATATATATATATATTTATGAGGAGTCAGTGAAACTTCGATGAAACAGTTAGTCACAGCCCCTCGTTTGTTATCCTCTTCTCCCTCTCTACGGAAGGTTTACCGGGCAGTTCTGTATGACAATATAAACAGTCAGCAAAGAGCGAGAAGGGGACAACAAACGAGGGGCTGTGACAAACTGTTTCGTAGGAGTTTCACTGACTCATCAGGAGGCTCCACCCTCAACAGTCTGCACTCCAGTATGACCTACATAGCTTTTTGGACTATTTTGAAGATAAAGCGGCCTCTTACAATGTCGGTCGCTTTATCCTGCGCGAAGCGCCCTTGTTGAAGAAGAATTGCTAAGTGAGTAAACTATTCTTTTGTAAGTCCATCAAGAGCGCTTTGCGCCTTTCCAGGAGTCATGTTACCAGGCTTACTCTTGATAGTCTCATAGCCAGGGTTGCCGGAGTTCGGGACGGGCCGAACGCCCGAACGCGAACGCCTGAACCCGAAAGCCCGAACGTTCGACACCTCCTCTCGACGCGTTCGGTCGTTCGGCCGAACACGGACCCAAAAGAAAAAAAAACAAAAAAAAAAGAATTCCAAAAAATCTGGAAAAAATATATGTTACGCATAAGAATAAACTAGACAACATTTGCCTCAATGCTACATCCAAATTCGTTATCAAATTTGAAATAAAAATCAAATACTAAAAATAAATAATAATAATGAACATTAGAAAAAATAAAAAAGAATGAAATTATTGAGTGGGCGAGCATGTTTTTGGCACCGCCATCTTTGGCGATTTTTCTTTTTTTTTTGCCTGTGAGAAATGCCATGAAAAGTTTTATAGAGAATCTAGAAATAAAGTTTGAAAAAATAATAATTTTTTTCATGCCCCGAAATAAAGGAAAAACAAAAAGTGAAAAGAGAGAAAAAACAAATTAGTGAGTGGGCAAGCAAGTTTTGACTCACCATCTTTGCCGATTTTTCATTTTTGTTTGGCTGAACAGAATGGATTCAAAATTAAGGAGGAGATACCTTTACATCACAAAGAACGCACTAAAAATTTTCATACTACCAAAAAACGAAATTATGTTTTTGTCAGAATTTGCCACTCCAAGAATGATGAAACTAATACCCATTTTGTTTAGTGCGGCTCCCACGAAGGCGCTGGGGGAACGATAACTCTTCTTGTAAGTACCCCAAGGTGATGAGGTGCCAAACGACTCCGTCGATATGAACTCTTGGGAGTTATCAGCCTGTTATCCCCGACGTACCTTTGATCCGTTGAGCGAGAGCCCTTCCACACGGGGGCCCCGGATCACTATGGCCGACTTTCGTCTCTGTTCAACTTGTAGGTCTCACAGTCAGGTAGGCTTTGACCTTTACGCTCTACAGCTGCGCAAAGCGCTAGCTTGAGCCTACCTTCGCGTGCCTCCGTTACTCTTTAGGCAATTGTGTTCAGAAAAAAAAATAAAAAAATTCGGTGCCCAAATAATTTTGGCGGGGTTCGAACCCCTTCAGGTTCGGGCCCCGTACGGGGACCCGAACGCCCGAACGTTCGGGGGTCAGCTTAGGGGTCTCTGTACGTTCGTCCTGGCAACCCTGCTCGGAGCAATATATATAGAATTTAGGATCTGCAAGAAGATCTATTTGATCCGTATATCTGCCCAAGAGTTTGCGTTCTCTCAAAGAAGAAGAAAGACCTCCGCGGATCTTATCCGGAGGAAGGCTGTTGTTCGTCTGCGGAACGTGATTGACCCTCTTCGCTGCCTGTAAGGATTGGTTTCCCTTCCCAACTACTATAAGGCCTCCGTGTTGCAACCTAAGTTGCTTATATCCCGTGGTTACATATATCTGGTTTTTAAGAATCCGCTAACTGATTACACTGTAAAATGATGCATTAAAGACACCTTAACGCCGGTTGTGGTTAAGCATCAATGACTGCCCGACAATTGAACGAGATACCCCGACTCGGAGGTGGGCACCAACCACTTGCCTCAAGGTACCTGTGACGAAATCAAAGCAGACTATCACTCACCCACACGAGATGGAGATCTCTACACATTGTCGATTTACACTCCATCACAAGCCTGCAAAATACCCACCAAACAAAGAAAGG